ATTCTTACCTGATGACCCAGTGCGGCCCAGTTGCTTCGCGTGCGCGTGTAGCCCACCGTGACCATTCTGCACACTCTGTTGGGGTGGCTGTTGAGCCTTATGCTGCGGCCCAGAATATTGCTCTCTGTACGCCACCCCACCCATCGGTGCTGTGTTAGGTGCAGGTTGGTACCGTATACCCCTACTTGGGTAAGGTCCACTCGCTCCTCCTTTATTGGTCACCATGGGGCCTCCGTTGGGGTGTGGACTGTAAACCGCATTCTTGTCGGACTGCTGCGAGAGCTGAGGGGTTCTCTCCAGTGTAGTTGCGTAGGGACTGCGCGTGTGCGGTGACCGAACGGGGATCATGTACTCTGTATTGACCGCAAAGTACAAAAGGTGTTACCATCGTAAATCTGTTCTGGTGTAGCATGTGACTAAACTGTACGATGTGTACCCGTATCTGTACCGTAGCAAGATGTACCCAGGGTATTAGAGATTGTACTCCAGAAATATGTACAATCTTAATAAAAGAGGATTTTATCAGCAAATATGTGTCTCAGGTACAGTGTTTGTATCCTCTGCATGGCTTATACATAGCGAATAACAGGTAACGAAGTATAATTTACTGTCACCTCCCAAAGCCGTCAAACCATGAAACTTCACGAGGCAATTGCGTATCAAAGCAAACGGGCCGACTGTCTTGCGCAGCCAGCAGACCCACCATGACATCCATCGTTCTAGGGACGATGCGTGAACATGACAGCGACCATTAAACACCTGGCAGACAAACTCGTATATTTCACAAACGATTCACGGTTTGTGTAGCGCAGCAAGTGACACTATTGCCCGTGCACAAATACGCAGCCAGCACATAACCGCAGCAATAACTGACCTCGGTGATCATTTGGTTGGGCTGCTATATTTCTCTGCTTCGCCAACACCTGTCTGACCTTAGCGTTGGGCGGGAAGTCGATCTGTGGGAAGTTCTGCGATGACATGGGCCAGTGAGCACGCACTTTGCCTGGATTGCCCCCACCGCGTCCCTATATGGACATTAATAAACGGTAGAGTTTGAGCACTAAGCACGATTGGCGTGCTCTACTATGAACTATGATAGAGCTTATACATCAGTTGATGGGAGTACAAGCCGTACAAGTAAACCTATTTTGGTAGCCAGCCCGACACCGTGAACGCACTTTTATACTAGACTACACAACACTTAGGAAAACGTAATTGGAATGCCTCAAACCCACCTACACAGTACATACAGAGGTATACCCAAATATGTAACATATAATAGAGCATACAATACTATCACCTCTAACCCACTTGCACAAATATACTTATATACTAAACTATAGAACATACCCGATGCATCTTGTATGTAGCGTCACCGGGAGGAGCCTGCTGGACATTTTGCAGACTCTGTGCTTTGACCAGTTTGTGCATTGGAAGCGAGTCATCTTCTGCACCACCGCCAACACAAAAGAATGAGAGGTTATGGTGTCGAGGTAGACATTTATGTAAATGACGGATGTACGAAACATGCAGTGAAGGTAGTAAGACAACCAAAGTGTACGAATGAAATATGGGGAAAGCATGGGCAGTAAGGGTGTTAATGTAGATACTGTGTGTAAACAAGAAATGGGTAGAAGCATGGAAAGTACAGGTGGTAACATAGGCATGCGTGAGAATGATTGATGGGGTATGCTGGTAGTTGGGCGAAGCATTGCACGTGAAACTACAACGACCAAGATGAAGCAAATGACCGACCTAGATGTGGCAATGATTTCGATTTCGATTTCGATTTCCATTGCAATACGAAGGCTACGATGACCACTAACATCATCACACACACGTATCACGCACAATCAACGAAGAAATGAAGAGAAAAGTCACGTTTATAAACCAAGCCAAGCCAATCGGGCAAAATAGCATACCGTCTAACGGTGGTAGACAATTGCGCAGATTCATGGTTTGTTGTGTCACGAAGTCGATGAAGTCGGGTACATTGGGGGGCGAATTGCTGTGCACGAGGTTTAGAAAGATCATTATAGTCAGTTTTAGGAGACAGATGATGAGATTGTATATATATGCACACAAATGTACCCATACGTGTGATACACGTACACGTATAGAGGAAAAATTCTGTCATTTATTGACATAAGCTCAGAAATCGTATGAACTACAATAAAAGAGGAACAATACATCGATGAATGCTCGAATATGAAGAAAAAGGAAGATACTGGAAAATATAGGCACAAAAAGAAAAATTAGCATCTGCCAGACAAAAAGAAGTTCATAGCCAAGTGAGAAAACATGAACATATAACCATCCAACATAAAGTATATAATAATATTTTTATAAACATACATATATTTATCTATATATATAATATTATATATATATA